TGGAAGAATAATAGGTAAATGAGGACAAGAAGAATTTGATGCCAGAGGTTTAACCTTAATGAGAAGGCACCAGAGGCCAAGACCAGCAGAATCAGCATTTCTTCATAGCTTAGAAATGCAAATTCTTGGGCCCCCAACCTGGCCCCCATTGGATCAGAAGCTCTGGAAGGGGGGCCCAATCATTGTTTTAACAAGCCCTCAAGTGAGACTCATGCATGCTAGGGTTTGAGAACATTGGTGTAAGGGCATGGATTTTCAACTATGGCTGCAAAAAATAGACTCATCTGAGGGGCTTCTAAAATGTACTAATGGTGGGCGCCTGGGTGGCTCAATTGGTTAAGCGTCTGACTCCTGATTTTGGCTCATGTCATGATCTCGCAGTTCGTGAGATGCAGCCTGAGCTGTCAGTGCAGAGCCTGCTTGGGATTTCCTCTCTCCCTCTCTCTCTCAAAATAAATAAATAAACTTAAAAAATGTACTAATGGCTGGGTCCTTACTCTAGATCAATTAAATCAGAATTTCTGAGAATTAGGGTTGATGTTTGTTAAATACTCTCCTGCTGAGTTTATTATTCAATCAGGGAAGAGAACTGCTGATATAGGGCACTAGTTTTATTACGTTGTTTCTAGCTTTGGCATTTTTTTTTTTTACCTTTTTATTGAAGAAAATACTTACATGCAGAAAGGCAGATATATCGTAAGTGTGTATCTTGGTAAATCATCACAAGGTGAACATACTTGTGTAACCAACACCTGGGCCAAGACGTAGACCATTACCTGCACCTCTTCAGTCATCTTGAACTCCCCCTGATCATTACCCTTGCATCCCCTCACATTACACGTGCTCTCATGTAAACACTATTTCAATTCCTTACACTATTGTTGAGGTTTGTAGGATGTTATTATAATTTTTTTAAGCGTGGTCTGCATCACTGACATTAGAATCACCTGACATTCTTGTTAAACTACAGCTTCCTCCCTCCCTCAAATCAGAACTTCTAAGTTAAAATCCTTAGGGGTAGGAGTATGGATTTCTAACAAGTTCTACATTTGTTCTTTGCACTGACACTCGAGAAATATTCTAACAGTCATTTCTATCACTTATTGTGAATCTTCTATGTGCCAATACTATTCTAAGTGTTCTTCATATATTCATCTCATTTAATCCTCACCTCGACACCCTGAGATAGATCCTATTATCATTCTCATTTTTTTTAGATAATTAAACTGAGGCTCATTAAGTTAAATGACTTGCCCAAGGATATACAGCTGGTGAGAACCAGACTCAGCTTCCAGAGTCTGTATTTGCTACCACTAGCTTATTATATTTCTAGCATGGAAACTAGGTGAAGAATGCAAACGCATCAGAATAACACTGTCCCATCTCTAATCTTTTTAAAAAGAATTGATCTGGAATTAGGAGACAGATTCCAAATTTCTTTGAGGACCACTCTTGTTTTGAAGAGCCTGAAATTAAGTCCTGCATAAGAGCAACCTCAGGCTGCACATAGCCCTAATTCCGGGAAAAGCTTCTGATGAAACCACCCTCGGATCAGCCAATCAAAAGAAATGTGTAACATTCCTGTGGTCTGAGTCAGGGCTGGGAACTGCAGGTAGTTACTCTGTACAAACTAGCCAATCACTCACCGCTTGCCTAAACCCCAGGTAGGCCCTTTGAGCTCACCTTATAATTGGTCATTTTCAAAGGATTCTCAAAGGTCATGATTGGGTCCCGCCAAAAGTAACGGACGCCTCACGGATACTGAATGGTCAAAACTATTACCATTGGTGTTGTACAATTATGATTGGTGCTTATGTGATGATGCAATACGTACAACGCGTGCACTCTAACACCCCCGTCCCTTACCCCATAAAAACCCTGCTCGCTATTGTTCAGGGCTTCTCCTTGCTGCCGCCGCGCTGGTAGGCGGGTGAGCCCCTGCTCGAGCTTGTAATAAAGACCCTTATGTACTTGCGTTGGTGTCGGCTCCTTGGAGGTCTCAGGGGACTCGCGATTCAGGCACAACAGTTTAGTCTCATTTCTTTTGCTATTCTTTCTTTCCTTCATAAATCATTCGAAATTCCCACATGAAGAAAAAGTCATTTGAAAAAACAAATTATTGTTAACGTTTTAGTGACTTAAGGTACTACTCCTCTAAGTGGTTTCTTAAAAAATGAATCTATTTAATGCAAAAAGAAGAAGCTTGAAAGGAAGAATTTGAGGCAATAGTAGATGGGTCATTTTCAGTGTAAATGGGTATGTTTTGAGGCTTAGGGCCACATTAGGATTCACAGACTATTTCTTCTGTAGGTGAGGGACTGTACCGAACACCTCCTCATCTGTTTAATGAGGATGTCTATTAGGTAGGAACTGCATTCTCATTCATATTGAAATTTATAAAGCAATGCAACAGCTGAAGCTCTTGGTTTCATCTTTTAAGAACAAGGGTTGACAAATTACAGCGCTATGGCTGGTTCTAGTCTTTGAGCTATAGTGGTTTTTACCTTTTTAAATGTAAATTTGAAAAGACTGTTAACCTTTCTACTAGAACAATTGCCTAAGAATTAAGGACATTGTTTCTTGGCTCATAAAGCCTAGAAATGTTTCCTATCTGGACATTTGTGGAGCTTTACTGGCCCCTGGTTTGGGAGATAATTCTGACATTGCACGTTATGCCAAAGAAAAGGAGCACATTCATATTGTTTAGGACATATAAACTTTATTATTTAAAATATTTTTAAGGTTTATTTATTTTTGAGAGAGAGAGAGAGAGCAAGCGAGCATGAGCAGGGGAGGGGCAGAGAAAGAGGAAGACACAGAATCCAAAGCAGGCTCCAGGCAGAGTCTGACACAAGGCTCGAACCCACAGACTGCGAGATCATGACCTGAGCTAAAGTCAGATGCTTAACTGACTGAGCCATCCAGGTGCCCAGACATACAAACATTATCGAATTAAGATGTGTTTGTTGGATGAGTATTGTTGGAGGTGGGGAGGGACGGGTGGAGTGTAAACTAAAGGTCTGGGATCCTCTGCTTAGTTGTATTGGAGGAGTACAACCCAATATGGCAGCCCTTAGGCTCTGATGATGTCCTGCTTATTGAAATTAGTAAGTGTTTGATAACTATTCTTAAGCACAGCCTAAGATTTAATTATAATCTCTCAGACAAGCTTGGAGCTTGTTGGGAGAAATGAACTCCTAAACCTGCTTTCCTAAACTCTATTACTGATTACTTTCTCCATGTCAGACATTAGTTTCTAAGTGGTTTACATTATTTTATTTAATCCTCCCAACTTCTTTGTGAGGAATTATCAGCTTCCTTTTACAGATGAAGAAATGTGAGATAGCGACTTTTCTGAGGGCTCTGCCTCTGATACCTTAAAGTAAGATGTAGAGATGAGGGACTAAAACAGGTGTAGCCAGAAACACAGAGGAAATCCACACTGAATAATATGCTAAAAAAGCGTTATTATCCAAATGTTGAATTCATCTATAAATAGGAAATCTCTTTTTTTTTTTTTTCTGGAATGTGCAAGCAAATTAAAAAACATCCTTTATGCACAGCAGGATTTCAGAACAGATGCACACATTGCTACTTGCTGCTCAGTTTTCAATTTGTTCTGCAGGCCATGGAGACAGGCCAGCTCTATATGTAGGCTGGAATAGAAAACCACCCTAATGCCTGAATTCTCTATAGCAACAACATGGGATTCAGGAATTTGAGGCAAGAGCCTTCCTTCCTTTCTCCACTCCTTTCTGGCTACTCACTGATGCTTGAAATGCATTTAACAAGGGACAAAGGCTTTGAGTCATTAAAAAACACTTCATAGCAGCCACTCCTAAGGCTCTCATACCATTCTGTATATCTTAATCCTGGGACTTATCATGCTGTATAGACAAGGACTGTGAGTTATATTTAGATTTAGATTTAGCATCCAGCAGTGTCAGGCCCTAAATATGTGGATTATTAAATATTTGTTGAATGAATAAAAGTTACACTTACACTTAGGTGTAAATGACTCATATCAGAACCTTTCCTGACAGCTGGTTTTGACAGGGTCTGGGTGCCCAAGGGCCCCCAGGAGAGGAGGAAAGAACCAGAGTCAGGAGGCTGAGAATATTAAAGAAACCTCATCTCCTTCACAACTTCCCTTGAAGCCAACGCTTACTTGGTTCGCTGAGAATGGAGCTGCTCGAGAGACATGGGAAAAAGCCTGTGCACTTGCTGTCACGCAAGAAAACCAGTGGGTACAGTCACTATGAGCATTTCCTTTAGTGTGCAAAGTGCATAGCGAGCTACCTAGAGCTATAGTCCTGTGCCAGGAGTGAAGTCTTCTTTTGGACATTGAGTCAAAGCACAGTACTTTGGTTTTGTTTTTGGCAGTGACTTTTTTCTTCTGTGACACGGTTTCAGGGTTTGGCGTTAGTGACTGTGCACATCGCTAACTTTATCCGCAGTTCCCAGGGGGCGTGTCGTGGGGTAATGCTGTACCATACCGACTGGGCTGGAATTAGTAACATGTCCAAAACTGACCAGAAATGCTGGGCCAGAAATGCCCAGGAACTCACTATCTAGAGAGCAGCCTTCAGCCAATGGCTGGTGGGTGTTTGGGGATAAATACCCTAGTGCTGCTTTTCCAGTTGGATGACCTGGGAATGTGTATTTTATACCGTTTCCTGTTTTCCCCTGGGTTCAGGCCCCAGTCACCCCCAGCGGTAACTAGCTCGTCCTTATACCTTTGGGGACTTCTTTCCCTTCCCTCCTTCATTCCCTGCTCACTTATTGGAGGTAAGGCAATGAGTTTTGCTCATTCCCAAGTACGCTCTCATATCTTGTGGTTGTCACTTAAAAACTGCTGGGTTTGTTTAAAAATTTTTTTATAATGTTTATTTTTTGAGAGAGAGATAGAGGGTGAGCGGCGAAGAGGCAGAGAGAGAGAGAGAGAGCGAGACACAGAATCTGAAGCAGGCTCCAGGCTCTGAGCTATCAGCCAGCAACAGAGCCCGATGTGGGGCTTGAACCCACGAATCTGAGCCGCAGTCAGACGCTCAGCCGACTGAGCCACTCAGGTGCCCCTGGGTTTGTTTTATTTTGTTTTGGATTTGGTGAGGGTTGGGAGTCGTGCAGGGTGGAAGTACAGGGATAAGGAGGTATGGCTTCTGTTGACATTGGATTTCCCTAGCTCACTGTGGACTGTGAACTCATCAGTGTTGACGGGGTGAGAGTCCTTCTTGTCTACTAGTATTGCATCATTTGGGAAAAGTCTCCTCTGCTTCAAATAGTTTTTTATGACTAGTCTATTCATCAGATTTTGCAAAGCTGATGCAGATGGGCTTGCTCGGGAGCACCTACTCAGGAAAGCCCAGATGAGAAAAGCCATTTAGCTTCCATTTCAATCAGGTGCCAACACCTGCTTGCCCTTGTCCTTATGCTCTTTATTTCCCTCACCTGGGCGGTGTTGGGCACGTAGCGGCCTGCGGCACAGCATTTAGGTGAGATGTAAGGGGTGACGCTGCTCTGCTCCGCGCAGTGTGCCGCTCTGAGCTGCGCACTGAGGCAGCTTGAGACGGAATAAGACAGCAGTGTCGGAGTATTATGAACATGTCAGGATGATGAATTTACTTTAACAATATCACCATTGGCGGCACACGCAATGCACTATATCTCAATCTGTCATTTTCCATGGTCATGTATTGTGTGGAATCATGCTATTTTTTTTCTTTTGGTATTGAGTGACGCTCATAATGGTGGTGGTGAGAAAAGCAGAAGTGGGTAATGATTTTGGATAGCCTTGTTTGAGTCAACTGTTGTTGCCAGGAGACAAGGAGCTGTGGTGTGTGTGTGTGTGTGTGTGTGTGTGTGTGAGAGAGAGAGAGAGAGAGAGAGAGAGAGAAAGAGGCAGAGGGAGACAGGAAAGAAGTGTGGGGGTAAAAACTGGGAAAGGGTGAAAGAGGGTGGAAGTAAGATTAAAGCATTTAAGTCCTGGGGTAAAATCTTTATTAGGCCATCCAGGAGACCTTACAACATAAGGATTTACCTGTACTGCCTTCTCAGGGTGAGCTTGCTCAAGAACAGGGTGGGAAATTGGCACCGTTTGTTTGCAGCACCTATTGGGCTATCAACTTGGAAAATAATTTAGCATCTTATGCTTTTCTCCATTGCTTTCAAGTCTGCCACGAACATCTCCCTCCCGCGTGGCTGCTGGTCACTTCCTGGGGCTCTCAAACACATCTCCTTGAAAGGCTGCTGTTTCTCTGTACAGGGACAAGCAGAGAGTTTGATACAGATGAGTCATCCTTCCCATTTTCTGCCATTTTCTCTTGTTCCCCTCCCTATTGCCAGCACATCACAGAGGGGTATATTAGTGTACTTGACTTTCTTTGCTGGAAAGTTGGGGGACACTGAAAGGAAATTAAAAGGGGGGCACCTGGGTATCTCAGTTGGTTAAGTGTCCAACTTCAGCTCAGGTCATGATCTCATGGTTTGTGAGTTTGAGCCCCACATCAGGCTTTCTGCTGTCAGTGTGGAGCCCACTTCAGATCCTCTGTCCCTCTCTCTCTCTGCCCCTGCTCCTCTCCTCTCCCCCAAATAAACAAACATTAAAAAGGGAAATTAAAAGGTAGGAGTTGAAAGTGTAAACCTGTGGGATAAATATAACCTTTTAGAGGATCTAAGAGGAAGAAATGCAAGAAATGAAATCCTTCATAAGAGAGTGAAGGATGTAGTAAGCTGAAAAACAGGCACACAAAGATATTAGATCCTAATCCCTAGAACCAGTAAATGTTACCTCATAAAGAAAAAGGTCTTTGCAGGTGTGATTAAAGACCTTGACATAAAGAGATTATCCTGGATTATCCAGGTAGGCCTTCAATCCAGTCAAGTGTCCTTTTAAGAGAGAGGCTAAAGGAGATTATGCCCATATAGGAGAAGGGGGTGTGAAGAGGGAGGCAGAGATTGGGGGATGTGGCTTTAAGCAAGGGGATGTTGATAGCCACCAGAAGCTGGAAGAGGCAAGGAAACTGATGGGATTCTTGTATGGGTGTGCCCCTCAGACTCATTCCTGTTTCACGTAGTTCCTTCCCTCCTTGTGCGTTTCTCCAGGTCTTGTTTGGGAAAACCCATGCGTTTCTAGGAACTATTTCTCTTCACCCCACCATGGAAGATGCGATCATAGACCTGAACACGATAGAACTGTCTAGATGGAGGTCAGATGGGGTGGAGACTGCGGTACCCCAAGTCTCCCACTGTGATCCAGACTGGACACGGGTCTCCCTCCAAAGATCTCACAGAGTTGAGTTGCTCCTATTTCTTCTCCCAAATTCTCTCTCTCTCACACACACACACACATACACACACACTCCTTTTATGGACAAACATGAATTCCCAGAGACAATGCAGTCTAGACCCATAGGGAGAAGGGAAAAAAAAAATCCCTAACTGCCTCATAATTTGTAAGGTGTGATGCTACCTATCGAGTCAGTCCACTACATTATTATGCCAAGTAGTATTGGTTCCTTTCTTCCATTCTCCCTTCTATTTGTTTATTTATAAAATATTTATCTTTTTTTTTAAAAAGCTTATTTATTTATTTGGGGTGGGGGGAAGAGAGAGAAAGATAGTGTAAGTTGGGGAGGGGTAGAGAGAGGGAGAGAGAGAATCCCAAGCAGGCTCTGCACAGTTAGTCAAACTTACAAATGCAGACATCATGACCTGAGCCGAAATCAAGTCTAAAGCTTAATTGACTGAACCCGGGTGCTCCTCATTTTCCCTTTTTAAATTGTTCCCCTTAGGATCTACTGGCAACAAGTAGAGGGTCTAGTACCAGCCCATTTGGCTTTTAATGAATCTTCTTAGTTACCCAAAGATTACTTAATTTATTTTGTAAATTTACATCCAAGTTAGCATATGGTGCAACAGTGATTTCAGGAGTAGATTCCTTAATACCCCTTACCCATTTACCCCATCCTCCCTCCTACAACCCCGTCCAGCAACCCTCTTGTTTGTTCTCCATATTTAAGAGTCTCTTATGTTTTTGTCCCTTTCCCTGTTTTTATATTATTTTTGCTTCCCTTCCCTTATGTTCATCTATTTGTATCTTAAAGTCCTCATATGAGTAAAGTCATATGATATTTGTCTTTCTCTGACTGACTAATTTCGCTTAGCATGATACTCTCTAGTTCCATCCATGTTGTTGCAAATGGCAAGATTTCATTCTTTTTGATTGCCAAGTAATACTCCATTGTGTGTGTGTATATATACACACGTGTATATATATATACACCACATCTTTATCCATTCGTCACTGGACATTTGGGCTCTTTCTATACTTTGGCTATTGTTGATAGTGCTGCTATAAATATTGGGGTTCATGTGTCCTTTTGAAAAGCATACCTGTATCCCTTGGATAAATACCTAGTAGTGCAATTTGGTAGTTCTATTTTTAATTTTTAATTTTTTGAGGAATCTCCATACTTTTTTCCAGAGTGACTGCACCAGTTTGCATTCCCACCAGCAGTGCAAAAGAGATCCTTTTTCTCTGCATCCTCACCAACATCTCTTGTTGCCTGAGTTGTTAATGTTAGCCATTCTGATGGGTGTGAGTGGTACCTCATTGTGTTTTTGATTTGTGTTTCCCTGATGATGAGTGATGTTGAGTATCATTTCATGTGTCAGTTGGCCATCTGGATGTCTTCTTTGGAGAAGTGTCTGTTCATGTCTTTAGCCCATTTCTTCACTGGATCTTTTGTCTTTTGGGTGTTGAGTTTGATAGGTTCTTTATAGATTTTGGATACTGACCCTTTATCTCATATGTAGTTTACAAACATCTTCTCCCATTCCGTCGTTTGCCTTTTAGTTTTGCTAATTGTTTCCTTCGCTGTGCAGAAGCATTTTATTTTCATGAGGTGCCAATAGTTCATTTTTGCTTTTGTTTCTCTTGCCTCTGGAGACGTGTTGAGTAAGAAGTTGCTGTGGCTAACATCAAAGAGGTTTTTTGCCTGCTTTCTTCTTGAAGATTTTGATGGCTTCCTGTCTTACATTTAGGTCTTTCCTCCATTTTGAGTTTATTTTTGTGTATGGTATAAGAAAGTGATCCAGGTTCATTTTTCTGCATGTCGCTGTCTAGTTTTCCAGCACCATTTGCTGAAGAGACTTTTTTTCCGTTGCATAGTCTTTCCTGCTTTATGAAAGATGAGTTGTCCATGCATTTGTGGGTCCATTTCTGGGTTCTCTATTCTGTTCCATTGATCTGTGTGTCTGTTTTTGTGACTGTATCATACTGTCTTGATGATTACAGCTTTGTAATACAGCTTGAAGTCTGGGATTGTGATGCGTAGCTACTGCTTTGGTTTTCTTTTTCAAGATTGCTTTGGCTATTCAGATCTTTTCTAGTTCCATACAAATTTTAGGATTGTTTGTTCTAGCTCTCTGAAGATTGCTGGTGTTATTTTGGTAGGGATTACATTGAATATGTAGATTGCTTTTGGTAGTATTGACATTTTAACAATATTTGTTCTTCCTATCCAGGAGCATTGAATATTTTTCCATTTTTTGTGTGTCTTCTTAAATTTATTTCAAAAGCTCTCTATAGTTTTAAGTATATAGATTTTTCATCTTTTTGCTTAGATTTATTCCTAGGTTTTTTATGATTTTTGGTGCAATTATAGATGAGATTGGTTCCTTAATTTCTCTTTCTGTTGCTTCATTGTTAGTATATAGGAATGCAACTGATTTCTGTGCATTGATTTTATATCCTGCCACTTTGCTGAATTCCTGGATCAGTTCTAGCAGCTTTTTTGTGGAATCTTTTGGGTTTTACATATAGAGTATCATGTCACCTGGGAAGAGTGAAAGTTTGACCTCCACCTGGCCAATTTGGGTGCCTTTTATTTCTTTGTGTTGTCTGATTGCTGAGGCTAAGACTTCCAATACTATGTTGAATAACAGTAGCAAGACTGGACATCCCTGTCTTGTTCCTGACCTTAATGGGAAAGCTTTCAGGTTTTCCCCATTGAGGATGATAGTAATGTTGGATTTTTCATATGTGGCTTTTATGATCTCGAAGTATGATCC